ATCTTGAAGTCAAACTAACACAACAAGATGTCAGTCGTAGTTATTTATTCCTTTGTTGTGTATTCACAAATGATGAAATCACAATATACAGGTAAATTCTGTAGGGGGCGGGGGCTATAGAATTTATTTTGTGATATCCTCGCTTGCTTTTCAGTTTTGATGTATTATTTTCAATTTTTGTAGTTTCATTGAAGTAATCGTTAGTTTACGTTTTTCGGTGGTGGTCTTGAACGCCTCTCGAGTCGAACGGAAGGAAGCACGGAGACAGACAAAGACGTACCTGTATTTGTTGAGAGTGTTTAAAAAAATTAACACCACAACTCTCCTTTTTTTTCGGAGCTGCAACACAAACTTATTTAATAAAGCAGCGACACAGTTCACTGAACCAACAGCAAGTTTTAACATTGGTCGGATGTCTCCAGGAAGGAGCCATCTTGGAGTCGACATTACTGTAATGACCATACAAAAGACACACCCGATTTTAAGGCGCTCGGTGAGCTTTTAAGAAAATGGAAGACTTTTTGGTGTGCCCTACAGTGCGGAAAAAACGGTTATTGATATCGAAATGACTTCATTACGCTGCCTCATTGTTACCACACCTAATCACCAGTTTTACAGTAAAAAGTAAAATATAAAGCTTCATTTCCTTAAAATTGAAAATATGATATTTACTGTAAACCTTGCTTTCCTTCAACAGGAAAATATAAACATTTTCCAGCAAACCTTGGAAACAGATGGTTGGATAGGCATCGTAATTATGAAGCAGCATAACTCATTCTGGTATGAAATATTACCCCAAATTGAACAGACACTCATCAAAAATTGTATCTTCAGACTAAAATAAACAAGGAATGACAGAAAAGGATGCTATTAGAAGTGAAGTTTTGTGTCAATAAAGACTTGTGATGAGCCCCCAGCCGATTTATATATGCTTATCATTTTATGTTGGCCGCTAGTGTATGTGCAACAGTACATTTTCCTTTTGAAATTCAGAGGAGCTTATTAAGACATGAAGCAATTTGTGGACCTGTAGCCATTTTGTTCTTTGAAATTTCCAATTAATCTCTCGTACTCACAAATACATATTATTAATATTATTATTATTATGTTCCCTGTTGCAAAATTGCACAACATTGTTTGCCTTTATTTTGTTTTATACTGATGTGCATTGTCATTGTTGACACAATTTTCCAGTAAATGTCCCAGAAAAAAAAAAAGATCTTACACAAGCTTTGTTCTGGAGTCCCTTAAAATACATTACATTTTTATTGCTGAACCATATACTCAAACTAAACATTTGAGAAATATTATACATGGATATGTATTCTATAATTATATATTGATGTCATTCTATATTATAAATAGGTAATATTAATCATGGCTACTGTTAAATCGGGTTAGGACCATAAATGGATATTACAAAATCTGGATATTCTCCATCCATCCATTATCCGAGCTGCATAACCTCACAAGGGTCGCAGGTGAGCCTGGAGCCAATGCCAGCTGTCTTTGGGCAGCAGGTGTGTGCGCCCTGAACTGGTTGCCAGCCAATCGTAGGGCTTGGATATTGTTATTTAAATCTTTATACTGTTTACGGTTTTTACTATCACGTTGTGTTTGGCACAGCGTTTAATCCGATACCCCCACCCTTTTTTTTCTTTTAGTCCAGGCTTGGACGAGCAGTGGTATTGAAATACTGCCCAGGTGTCAAACTCACGCTGTCGGCATGAAAGGCAGTGGCATACCATCAATGTCAAACGGAATCCTCACACCTCCAAAATAACAAATTTTTCAGGAACCACAAACCAAAAATCCAATGAAAATCCGACATGTAAAATGTAAATAAAGCACAATACTGTCATTTGCAAATTCCTTTCAAACTATTTTCAGTTAAATAGAATACAAAGTCGTGACATTTAATGTTTAAACTGATTAACTACCGAGTTTTTTTTTTCTTCCATTATTCACACATTTGGAATAAAGTTCTGGGACACTGAATGAGCGTTTGGGAACTGAGGACACGACTCGTTGAAGCGTTGTCGGTGGAATTCTTGCCCAATTTTCTCGACGTACAATTTCAGATGCACAGCAGTCTGGGGTCTCCGTTGTTGTAGTTTGCGCTTCATAATATTCCACCCATTTTCAATGGGAGATGGTCTGGACTGCTGGCAGGCCAGTATTGTACAAAACCATGCTGTAGCAACAGCAGAATGTGGCTTGGCATGTAGCAACAAAGTGTTAACTACCAATGGTTTTCTGATGTGTTCTGAGCCCACGTGGCAAAATCCTTTGCACAATCATGCTGGGTTACAATGCGGAATGTTGTGGTCATGTTTTTGACCTTGACTTTAACGTGCAGAGATTTCCCTACATTTTCTGAATCTTTTGATGTTATGGAAAGTAGATGATGATATCCATGAATTCCTTGCAACTGTACTTTGAGAAACGTTAAACTGTTGGACTATTTGCTCATGCAGTTTTTCTGGTGCACCTCGGCCCATTCTTGCTTGTGAACAATTGAGCCACGGTGTGTTTTTATTATGCATGCGACACTTTGTTTTTCTTTTCCACCCCCACCCCCCTTCAATTCTGCTGCTGAAGATTGCAAATTTCCCCAGTGTGGGACAAATAAAGGTTTTCTTATCATATCTTATTCAGTTCGCTTCTTCTACATATCGAGAGGAGCCAGATGAGGTGGCTCGGGCATCTGATTAGGATGCCTCCTGGAGGCCGCCCCTGGTGAGGTGTTCTGGGCATGTCCCACCATCAGGACGACCCGGGACACGCTTGAGAGACTATGTCTCCCAGCTGGGCTGGGAACGCCTCGGGATACCCTGGAAAGAGCTGCAACAAGTGGCTTGGGAGAGGGAAGTCTGGGCTTCCCTGCTAAAGCTGCTGCCCCCGTGACCCAACCCCGGATAAGTGGTAGAAAATGGATGGATGAATGGGTGGGTGTATTCACACCAAAAAGTCCTTTGGTCCGGTTGTTTGGTCTGGACCAATAGCGGACTTTATTGTTTTCGTTTGGTGCGGTTCATAATCACACTGCACTTTTTGTGGCATGTGATGATCGGTGCGCCAATTGGACAGAAGTGACTCGGGTGCCACGCAGAGGACAAACCTGTAAATGGAGGAAAACGTGTAATTCCTATGTGCTGCATTTTTGAAAAGACAAAGGATCACCACG